ATATAGGACTTGCTAAACTCTGAGAAGGCAATGCATCGTTGCTTTGTAAATTCAGCCACTCATTTATTACGTTTCCAGTGGCTCATGTAGGGCTTTGCCGGTCATATTCAGGGTTTTAAGCAAAGAGTGGTGATGACAGGGTACAGAGGTGAGACATGAAAGTGGGGCCATATGTTTGGCTGGAGTCTATAGGGGAAAAGGAGAGAAGAGTTAAGGATCTCTGCCGTGATCAACTAACTGAGCTTCTGCTCAAATTAGGAACCCACTCTGGTTTGTAAGGATTTCTGGGTTAGACACATGAAGACAGCCTAGAGGAAGTATGCAGGAGGTGAGTGCTGTGGTCCTGGACTTCAGCGGCCGCCCCATGGCACAGATTTGGTGGGCACAAACTGAGTGACGTGATGGGACCAGAGAAGAGCGCCCCAAAAGGAAGGCTAGCGAGGACTCTAGGGAAGGTTAATGTCAGGGTTGGAGGAGGAAGAGCAGAGAGGTGGGAAGGAAGCCAAGGACAGAAGGTCTACAGCCACAGTGTGCTCTAGGAGGAGGAAGGTGATTGTCAACAGATAGAGAAGTATTCCACACGTAAAATGCGACCTTGTGAGATGTGCACGTGCCTTCCATACAAAAGTACTGAAGCAGAGGGGACTTTTGCTAAACTTTTGAGACCCGTCTGTTAATCATTATAGTCACAGGGAAGTAGATGGCATCCCCCGAGTGTGTATTTTGGTAGATGTGGGGCTGGTGCTTTGGACTCATTAACAGCCCTGCTGAGTCTGTGGCATTATTCTCAATTTATACAAAGAACACTGAACTAAGCCTTTAACCCTCGGAGAGGAAAAATAATTTGCTTATGGGATACACCTGACAAGTAGAAGAACCGGATTCAAACTTGGGGCTGTCCTACTCCACACCCCAAGGTTTTCCTTCTGAAATTAAAGTAATTTAAATGGTTTTAACCCCCTCCCAGTAGCATTCATGTGTTCTTGGTTGCACACACTGGGTAAGGTTGATACTGCAACTTTGAATAGCACTGTTTCCTGTGTCTGCTATTCATTTGAGACATTTCAAAAAAATAATAGCATTTAGGATTCTCAGAGTAGGTGCTCGGCTTTTCACGTCAGAATGTACACATCCAGCATTCATGCGATACGTTTCTGAGTGTGTATGTGTGCACGTACCCGGAAGCTCACAAGCTGCAAACTAAAGCCACCTCTGCACCCTGGGTGTGTTGTACATCGTGTGTGTATGCAGATGGACAGAAGAACCAACCAAAGCTATTGTCCCTTGACTAACGGACCTGGGTTCCGTTACTCAGTGCAATAGGAGCACGAGTTAATAACCACTTTTTTCTTTGCTGGAAAATGGAGAAGATTTATCAAGAGATAAATGGGCTGAAAAAAATTGTAAGTACTTTTTGAATTTCAGCCAGGGGTCATCTGCTAAGTTAGATATATAACTGTGCTATGGCTCACACTCTTTGCTTTGAGTAGGCAAATAAATGTAATTTATTTTTAAACATCTGTATTCCAGAGATGCTTTGTTAATATAACTTTAAAGGTGACTTCCTGTCTCTGTGGGGATTTGAAGAATGTCTTGATAGGACACGATGAGTGGCAGGAAAGCTATGCAACAGCGGACAGGAGAGCGAGGGGCTGTCTTCATTTCTTTAGGACTCTGTTGTAGATGAGACATTTTTTGTGTATTCCAAAGGCTGGGACTAACAGTTCAGGTGCAGGGATTGCGAGACAGCCAGATTCCAACTCAGTGGAGAGGTCTACCAACTCCAGCTGTTCTAAACTGGTTTGTTCATGCTGTGGCTGGCTGCCCATCACAGGATGTACTCAGCCAAAGCCATTCCTTGAGCTGGGCGTGGTGGGATGCCTGTAATGGATTGCGAGACAGCCAGATTCCAACTCAGTGGAGAGGTCTACCAACTCCAGCTGTTCTAAACTGGTTTGTTCATGCTGTGGCTGGCTGCCCATCACAGGATGTACTCAGCCAAAGCCATTCCTTGAGCTGGGCGTGGTGGTGCATGCCTGTAATCCCAGCACTTGGGAGGCTGAGGCAGGAGGATCACTGCAAGTTCAAGGCCACCCTGGACTATGTAGTGAGTTGAGGCCAGTCTGAAATACAAAGTGACTGTCTCAAAAGAAAAAAAGCCACTTCTTGGCAGAGGAAAGGGGATCTGGGAGACTCATGGCAAGCAGAAGATTGAGTCAATATAAGAAAACTCTAGAGTCCTCTCTGGGTGCAGGATTGGAAGCTGGTACAGGCACAGACTGTTCCCACTAGTCCCGCAGGTTCTGTGCACACAGACCATTGTTCCCTGCGCCGAGCCAGCTGCATCCCCTGAGGGAGCCGTTGATTGCTGAGCAGACATGTCTGCGAAGGACGGGTGAAGCCGGGCCACTCGGGTCTCAGTCAAGTTTTTTTCCTGGCCGGGTTGCCCATCAGCGTTTCTCACGGACGGATGGACGGACGGACTGACTTACAGCTCCTGTCTCCCTAAGCAGCGTGTGGATCCGCTCGGCAGCCACATCAACGTGAGTGTGGGCTTAGCCCACATCCCAGCAGGATGGGCTGCAAGGCCGCAGATCACTTTCTTTCCGCTTCGTAGCCGGGCCGTGAAAATGAAAGTGGCCCAGACTCCTGCCGGCCGTGCGCACCTCAGAGACGCAGAGAATGCAGCGCGAGCGCCAACGCCAAGGGAGCAGGTGACATTGCCACTCCTGTGGCCTGAGCTTTGATACTTCCTGACGCTGAGCCGAGCTCGTTCGCGTGGCCTGGATCTCCTCACTGAATCCAACCAAGAATCCCGCAGAAGAGGCATCACCATCTACATCGCCTCTCTCCAGCCGAGGAAACGCAGGGCTGGGGCAGCCGGGAGAAACCTCAGAGCCTCACCGGAGTCCGGAGCACACGGGAGTGTAGTGTGAACGCAGGCAGGAGCACCGGAGAGCTTCATCCTTCGGGCCTGTGTTTCCTCCCCACCGGCGACCTCCTCCAGCCCGGCACAGGGCAACGCGCACTCCAGCCCTGTTCCCAGCCCTTCCTGAGATGACCCTCGCTGAACCCTCCCCGCAGGTGGCGAGGGAACTGCTGGGGTTGGCAAGGTGACTGGTGCCCGGGCTGCAGCATCCTCCGTGTGACCGCTGGACACCCTCAGGGACGCAGAATGCGCATTTCCTGGCCTCCCCTTCGAAAACAGCTAGGCTAATTATGGACCCTTCTGTGTGTGTCTGATAGTAGTCATCAAGAACATATTTTTTAATGTTTTTATTTTCTGCATAGTACCGAAATAAAACACTGAATAGACCCCAGGATCAAACCCAGTGAGTGAGAGGCCGTGTAAATTAGGAAAAGTTCAGGAAGACGTTACGCTAAACCCAAAAAAAAAAAAAAGTGTTGATTAGGGACTTATTTTTGTATGAGATTAAAATATGAATCATTAAAATAGGACTGTATTTCAAGCACCGCATCCCCATCGCATGAGAGCTGTCACCATGACTACTGGGTTTGCAGTCCATGCGTGCCAGAGCCCTGCCCAGCACTCAGACATGTGGGGCTCTGCCTTACCCGAGACACTGCCAAAAGTGTGGTCAGAAGACCTCTGCATCTTCTTGCTCATTGTCCCTTTTTAATGAGATAACTCAACACGTGGCATCTACTTTCTGAAACCTTTTGCTTTAATAATAGTAGTTGGCAGTGAGTTACACAAATAGCACCCTTAACTCCAAGGTGGAGGAAGGAACAAAGAGCTCCCTGGGGACTCTAGCCATGAAACTTCACTTGGTACAAACTGTCAAGAATTGGAAGTTTGGAGAAAGGAGGAAATTAATATGGAGCCTTTCTCAGGTTTGTGCCGAGTTCAGAGCAAAAAGATGCAGCTATATCTGTAGCCCAAAATATGCAGCTGAATAAAATTGTGGAAGCACGTGTTAAAAATGGCTAAAATTAGCGACAAAGACCCATTGTGTGGTACAGTTGTGGACTGCGTGTGCCCCTGTAGCGAAGGGCATGGGGGGACGGTCAGCAGCCTGTGGTATTGTAAGGGTCAATCACCCACCTGTAGGGGCTTTGAAGCTCCCACCTGTGTTGTAAACTTGGGTCTGAGCCAAATGGGTGGAGACTGCGAGGGATTGGGGTCTGATTGCCCAGTGGACACCTCAAATGCCAAGGAGGTCAGAACAGAGGGGCGTAAAACAGCCCCACCATCCTCTACTGGTGGCTGATATCTTGATGATTTTCTTGAGTACACAGGACCTGAGAGCAATGAATATTACGTATCTTTAAAGGAGGGAAGCATCCCGGAATGTTCCTTAGAGCATTGTGACTAGTTAGCACGTCTGGCCGGATTTCTTAAGTGTTTCATTATTTTTCTGTTCCCTTCTGGAGTTAGGGCAGGTGAACAGGGCATATTTTTCTCGGTAGGGAAGATTTCTGTGAGTTGTCATTGGAACAGTGAAGACTTTTCCATTAGTTTTCTTTGGATAACCTGAAATGCACAAAAAGATGGATGTAAAAAGAATATTTTCAGAGAAATCGTAGGAATGAGTTGGAGCAATGCAGTTTTCCCCAAAGCCTGGGACATCCATTTGATGAGCTACTAAAGGAGTTCAGTAATGTGGGGACCTCTTTGAAACCTGACATGGAGGGGAAACAGCAGGCACTAAACAATTCCAGCCCTGTAACTATAGACAGTGTTAGCAAGGCTCTTCTCTCTGAGTGATGGGGTCATAGGTGGTTGCCTTTGCTAGCTGGTTTTGGACATTTTTTTAAACTTGCATATTGCTGTCATAGTCAAAAAGGTCGATTTAAACACCACGTGCCTCTGACATTTTGCGTTGCGCATGCTGTGTCCCGTCCGCGTGAGGCCATGAGGACCACACGCTGTCTTGTTTGTCGTTGTGGCCCTGCCGCGGTACCAGGCACCGAGTTCTACTCCATCCCTGTGGGCGAATGGTGTCCCATCTCTATCTCCTGTTCCTTTTTCTTCTCAGGTGACGTGCTCTATGAGCTCCTTCAGCATATTCTGAAGCAGAGGAAACCTCGGATCCTTTTCTCACCGTTCTTCCACCCTGGAAACTCTGTTCACACACAGCCCGAGGTACTGCTGCATCAGAACCACGATGAAGGTACTGGACGAGGCTTCTCTCCCATGTCTGAGGCGTAGACAAACCCGAGGGTTTTAACTGTTAACTCGACGCGCCCTTCTTGTTCGTGTGACTTCACTTTTCACTTGACAAGCATTTATTGAGCGCCCCAGTGTACCGGGCAGTAGGGGAAATGCCTAGATGAGTAAGATGCGTGCTCTTCCTTTCTGAAGCTCACAGCCTAAGTAAAGCATGAGGGAGATGTGCACGGAAGTATAAAAGCTTACTTATATTAGTTAGCACCAGCGGCACAGTGGGAGGGGAAGCTACAACCAGGTACTTCAGGAGGTGTCGTTAGGGAGGGGTCTCTGAAGGATCCCTTGACCAGGGTTCTGGCCAGCAGTGGTGGAATGGAGAACGTTCCAGACACAGAAAATGGCTTATGAGTGGGGTCGGCCCTTGGAATAGAGAGCAGTTAGATCACATGGGATTTAGACCCTAACCCCCCTCTCATAGTGATAAGTGTCAGCGTGCGCGTTCCAGACAGAGAGAAGGAAATAAACCCCCACCAGCTTCACCCCTGATGTGCCTTTTGCCACTGAGCTGGTCCAAGGAGGGTGAGTAGGAAGCAGAGTGGGGAACCGATTTCTCAGCTGCAGAGAAAGTGAGAGCAGTCACTGAAGGTCCCTGAGCGGGAGGTAGTGGAAACGGGGGGCGGGGCGTTGAGACCCTATGACTGCGGTGGTGTTCGGGACTTTCTTCACCTACACCCAGTGTGTGGAGGGGCGTGGGTCCAGGGCTTCTCCAGAGTCCCTGTGGCTGCTGCACTTGTGATTCACAGGAGCCAAGGAAGCAAAACCAGAACTGAAGGGTGGGCCCTGGATATGGCTCTAAAGCAGCGATTGGGTACAGAAATGGCTATTAAAATGTCTTTTAGGGCCGGGGATTTATCTCAGTGGCAACTGTGCCTGCCCTGCAAGTACAAGGTCCCGAGTTCCATCCTCAGTAACCCCCCAAAAAAAAATCCTTTGAGCTGGGCACCATTGAACAGCTGAGCACATAGCAGCCAGTGTTCAGTGTGGAATCGTGCCTCTGAGGCCACGGCCTCCACATCCTCCCGCCCGGTAGATCAAGTAATGACTGTGTGAACGTGAGTGGTACTTTTTCACATGTACTTTCCTTAGGGCCAAATTACTAGGGGCTTAGGTGCCCCATCTCTTGAGGATTGCCTTACATTGATCCACTGTCTCCAGAAGTCAGGCTAATTGTTTTTGTCAACTAATTAAAAAATAAGAAGTTTTATGTTTTCATTAAGATGTCACGGGGGCCGGGGATTTGGCTCAGTGGTGCTGCCGCCTGCCTTGCAAGCATAAGGTCCTGAGTTCGATCCTCAGTACCAAAAATAAAAAACATAAGATGTCACAGAAGAAACCTGACTCCAGGCGACCCATGTCACCCGGGTCACCTTGCTTTCGTGATGGGAATGAGCAAGCATTTCTGGCTCCCTGCCTTTTTTTTTTCTCTCCCATTCTTTCCTTCCCTGGCCCTACTCGCAGAATTCAGCATCTGCTCTCCTCCCTCAACTCGGTTTTTATATTATTCCACTCTTCCTGCTGTGTTCATTATTGACTTGCATAATATCCAACAGCCACTCCAAAAAAGAGGAGAGTTCCCTGGCCTGCTCTTCAGATCCAGTATGTGTGATAGATGCCCCCTTCTTATTATTTAAAAAAATTTGCATTTGGGATTTCTAGCCCCATTTTAGTCCCAAACATGATGGCAGGTGTTCAGACTTGCGTCGTCACAGTTCCTTCCTCCTC